CACGAGAACTAGCCATCGGGCCACCAGATACATGGGTGGTATATCTCGTCGGCTCTCCGTTTTGCCGAGGGGAGGTCAAGTGAATGACCACACTGGGATCCTGTATGCGTGTTTCGGAGACACAGCATACATCAATGGTACGAGATTCTAGAGTTTCAGCCAAGGAGGTCTGTTGACCAATTTGACATAGGGTGCGTGCGTTGAAGGCTCCAATGAGTTTTGAGGGTGGTTATCACTTTCCGAGTGCCCACACCGTGGAAGGGTTCTTCTGGAGGTACCTGGAAAGGAAACCGGATTAGAGGTGGTCTTAGTGACCTGAGAGCATGACCGCAGTGCCCAAGGGACAACTGCTTTGAGGTCGGTCACACACCACCTTTTTATAGGTAATTTTTGTGTTAGCTCCGTACTTGTTGAGACGTTAACGCCGGAGACAGAAGTCGGTGGGTTAAGGCGAGGTGTGCATTTCTAGGGTCGAACTTTTCTAACCCCACCTCTCCTTGTGAGAAATCAGCATCGCTGTCATGCTGGTTGTCTGAAGGAAACACCTTACTGCCGTCACACCTGCACAGTCAGCAGTACGACTTCGCCTCCAGACCTTCGGTTTGCTGCTTTTAGTCTTATCGCTCTCCAACCAACCTACCTGGTATGGTAGAACCTTGAGGAACGATTGCTCCAGCTAGTATAACTCGATTGGTTCATTACGACAGACAAAGCCGACCACCACGTCAAGGTACGACAGCCAAGTAAGACTAATATTAGTCTAGCTTTGAGAATAAATGAGACTCATCACCCAAAAATTCCCATACTGACGTACATTTGGTAACTCTAGAACCGAATGGGGAAGCAGTCGCGTTCATCTTTCGACGCACCATCGTGAAATATAGAATAGTTGTACCCAGTTATTGTCAGACGGTATATCATGACTACCAGTAGCTTGAAAATTACCAGAAATTATTCACATTAAAAGCTGACGATGCTCCTGTGCTATTTTTTCTACTATTGTGTTCTTCTTAAGCATTTAGATATACCACTAATATGTAGTAAATCTATCCTGGTTGTATTCTTGTTTAAACTATGTCGGTTGCTATTTTGTCCTTACGGCTATTACAACTTCCTCTTTTCCGTTTATTTTTCTATTGCACGTACCTTAGCACCTTGTTTCAAGCCTTTTCTATTAAAATGATTAAAATATAGAGATTGCTTTTGGGAGTGTACGTTAGAGGTAAATGTAACTTATCAAGTACTGCTTCTATGTACTCAGCTTCAAGGGGTAGTGATACTGCCTGGCTGCCCAAATCGAATTTTGTACTTGTTAGTGGTCCAAGTATCAATCTGCTGTTCCGAATGAAGGTCAGTGACAAAGGCTATAGGTACTTGATAATTATTAGGAAGAAGTCCTGATTTTCTGTACGTGCATTTTTCTCATGAAGTCTTAGTGTTTATATCATCCATATTGTTTTTATCTCTATCAAATGTCTACTTTAGACCCTTGTCTACTAAAGAACTATCTGCAAGTTTTATGAATGGGTTACCAGTACAAAACCACTCATCTCCCATACTAGAATGTGTTTCTCGACTTCCAAGTTATCGTCGTCGATCTATACATCCAGACCGACCAGGAATAGATGACCCCTACGCTGATGATTTGGCTTGGTTTCCATCGTTATCATCAACAAAATGTGGTGAACCGCCCAACAAACAAAAGATGTTTCACAACACGAGAGGAATCATCAGGGAAAACCTTATAAAATCTTTTTTGTATGTCATCATTGGTTTGATGTCTGTCATTCTCGATTGTTGCTTTTCCTCCCTCTCTAAATTAACGAGTAAGTTGGTTGTCTTTTGTGTTTAGTTTTTGCACGTATCTGTGGTCAACTAAGATTAAACAGAATCAACCTTACCTCCAGGTTTATGTTCCGTTATGGTAAAAAAATTGTTTTTCTAACTTAACCGGGAAAATTTGGGCACTAGTGTGATAGTGTCTCAATTTGGGTGGAAAAACTTTGAAACGTCAGTCAGGCAAGACTTACAAGATAAGTAAAAGTCAGAGTTAGGTTTAGACCACAAATAGATGTGTAACAAAAATTGTGAAGGTTCAGAAATGTTAGCGACTAAATCTTTGTCATTCTCATTCTTTAATGACCTTTATTAATTTTCATATAAAAATGCTCTGACAAGTATATGTGTGACCAGATTATTCGAAATGCATAGCTCAAATACATCACATTTTTCAGATCAACTCTGTCTTCTCATTGTTCTATCGAAATTCTTTAATGAGTTTTAACTACGAAATCTACATTTATTATTGTACTTCGAGGAAATAGTAGGCGATATTATGGAATAATCCAATTTCGCGGTGTGCTTGATTCAAATATGTTCCATATCTTAATTATTTCTCAACGTTCGACGTCACAGGTGTATGATCATATTAAACATCAATCACCTGGGTAAGTTCACAATCTCATCGACTTAATTTAGCAGTTTGTCTCACTTATTCAAACAACACTTCACCATAGGCAAGTGCGCTCGGCACGTCCATGTGACAGCTACGGTCAGGTTTTATTTTGTTAATTACTACGACTGAGATTTTTTCGTTTTAAATTCTGCATCTTAACTATTTACCAACAAAGGATAATACTGAATTTCAGTGTTGATTCGGTTGACATGATACCTCAACGATTTTTACCAAATGACAGTCGTACTCTGTTTGAAAATAAGCAGCGTAGAATCAGTAGTTTACGCAGGGTCATCACCTAATGAGGTTTTGGAGGTTAAATATGAATCTAGTACGGTGATAATTCAAAAATAGTACAATTGAGGCAAACCAACTTCTTCAAATTATTAAGATAATCTGCACGATCTGGGTTTCCAAGTTGTCGCGTCAAACTAGCTGTCTACAAATCCATGCATCGGCAGTATGACTTGGTTTATATAGTTAATTGAGCTCCCAAGCAAAGTAAGCCGTAGGTCTTCCTGCTCTGTGGTTTTTGAATAAACACAAGGAACGCTGTTTTTCTTGAATATCCTTATAACAAGTATGAATTCCCACGATAAGTGGTACGCTAAAACTGGGTTTATATGTTTGACTGAGTGTACACCATGTATCTCACTCCAAGACATTTAAACGTCAAGGAATCGGTAACTACTTGTAGTATGTGCCCACGAATAATGTTTACCATATAATGACTTGTAAACGTTTACTTTATAGGTAAATTATCAATTTGCAAATAAGATCTATAATTTATTTGCAATTATTCACTTAAATTGATGTATTACAGACTAACCACTTTTTTAATTATTTTTCCAGATGCCGTATCCACTTGTATACCATCTTTACGTATCTGTCTTTGTGTCATTTTATTTGGACTGCTTTTATGTGGACTGTATAAGCTTCTACTCGGGGATCCATTTTATCATAATCCCGTGGAAGATCTATATAACATCATACAGTTTCCTTTTGTTAAGTAGGCATTGTTTATTTTATACTGGGATGACTTTGTAGTCCCGGTTCAACATATTTTAGTGTATTTTTTAAAATAGTTCTTTTTTAACCGTTTTGTACCATACTGTTTACTTTTGTATATGTACTCAGTGTAATAAAATATGAATGTTCTGGTGTATATATTTCGTTCTTTATGAAGTCCAATCTATTAGATCATTGAATACTGTCTTGCTATTGCCACTGCTCTCCCCTGACAGTAACCAAAATATATATCTCACTTGTCCTAAAGGTAGCATGAACCAAGAAAGAAATTGTTTGTATCCGTACTGAAATAGCGTCAACTGTAAACTCATCAGAGGTGGCATGACATCCAAGTTGAATATAGTGATCAGCAACTTTACATCTTATTGTTATAGTGGATATCGCCATAAACGTGACCACCAAACGATTCTTTAAGTTTGGTTTGTGAGAAATGTCCCTAGACTCTTGAAAGGTAAGCAACAATATATCTTTAGAAAACTTGTGTAGAGAAGGACATGCAAAATCATACTGTACATTATCCACCATTTGGTTTGGTTCGTTCTTAAGTGTTCGAATATGAAGCTTTCAGCAGTATGATATACCTAATCCACATTCATCCAAGTGGGAATTCTAAACTTTATTGATTGGCCAAATGAAAACACAATTCAAGATTAAAAGGTTTGGCTACACTTAAAGGGGTCAGTAAGTGCTTTTGTCCTCTCGAAGCAAATGAGTCTGGTCAACACAACGGGAGCTATTTCTTGGTTTTACTCTTCATGTCTCAGACATTGAAAAGCAATTAACGCTGGTCGTAAAACCAATGCTAATCAGATCGATCCGGTTGTGATTATGTCAAGACGGTTCTTGTCTTTTCTACATACTGGACGCAAACTAGATTTCCAGGATTACACTCGACTTTTAAGATTTACTACAGTTAATTCGTCAACCAACATTCTTAAGTACTTGTATTACTAGCATGTTAGGGTATACTACTGTTCCTCGCTCGGAATTATTTACACTGAATCCCCCCTAAGTTTCCTTCGAAGTGTGGCTGCGATTTTTTACGGTCAATATTCTCTAACACCTGTCCATGGCAAAATAACATCGTTGAAAATGAGGAACACCTTGACACTACTACTGTACTACGGTGTAATCATGCATGGAAATTACCATTTACTACTTCCCAACCAGTTTTTTGCGAGCATAACATAGCGTTCCAGTCAATGTAGTTCGATTTGGTTATTATGGCGGTTTTATATGTTTGACAGTCTTTAATGATCCTTCTAAACGTAATTATCTTCAATTTTATGTATGCTCACCCGCTGCTGAAAGATTAGCTGGGAATGGTTTTAGACCTATTACTGGAAATCTACAATAAGCAGGTTGAGACTGGTATTAGCTCAAAGCCTCGGTAAATATTTAGTCTTATTTCATGCTGTCACGTATCACTTTCAGCATATAGTAGAAAAATTCTGAGATAAAAATTATCTACCACACTATAAACAAAAGCTTCTACAATTCAAAAGTCTCGTAAATATTACTGCTTTCCAGATAGAAATTTGTCCAAGAAATCTTTCGGCTTTTCTGGGAGATGATCTTCTCTAAAGAAATCCATCACATGCGTATCAGACTTCCACAAACGCGCCACTTCAATTAGTTCATTTTGCCACTAAAAATAGTACGATTAGATAAAGTGAAGTTCAACATACTCTGTGAATTAACAAGTCAATTATACGTAAATCTTTAATATCCTTATTTTTACGGAACTCTTCCCTTAATCTTGCATACAAAACAGGCACTGTAAGATCTACGCTACTATGAGCATATTCTTTTGGTATATAAGGAAGTTGTCTGTACCAGGCACGATATAAACTAATGACTCGCCTTCGAGCTTCTGCATGATTTCTAGACAGAATTGGCCTTGCAGCTTTCACACCAGACATAGTACTATGAAGACAGCACAAAGGTAAAAACCAATAAAGAATACATAGAAGCTATATATATATATATATATATATATATATATATATATATATATATATATATATAAGTAGCAAAATTTGAGATTAATAATAGCAACATAACGCTTATAAGATGTGGATGACAGGATTTTCAAATAATTTATAAACAACACAGAGCCTGGTATAAGTTAGTTTTTGCCCAACCTGATATACACATCGCACCCAAATGCCCTGGTACGGCCGAAAGTGGGGAGTCCGCTTTCCCTCTCGAAATGCTCTCATATGGCCATGCATATATAGCCTCTGCCAGGGAAGTCCTACTCACTGCCTTCTCGGGGCGGGGGTGTTGTTTACGAAATTGAGAGGGCAAAGAGCGAATGTCCGGCGCTTTAACCGGGTTGGTGGTCATGGAGAGTCCACCTAGGGGAGTTGGAAAACCCTGATTCCAAACCACTGGTACACATGGGCTCCAGCATCCTAAAGGAAGAAATGGCGTATGAACCAATCGTTGGTCACCGGCTACCATGGCACTGCATCTCCTTACGATGCTCCACTGCCTTGTGTGTCAGACCTTCAGGTCGAAGGCTCCGGGTGTGGCCCCTTAAGAAAACCACCTGCTTCGGTTCGGGCACCCGGGCAGTATCACAGCCCTCACACATATCAAATGAGATTTGTGTGGCGCATATGTATTTGGTGCCTTCTTGTACCAATATCTGTGTGTTAAAATAAATATACACATTAGTTACGCAAGATGAAAGTAACAAAATGAACAAAAAACGAGTCCGTATGATTTAGTAACAATGATCGGGAAAACGGTTCGAAAATAGATAGAGCTTAAAGCTTAATGTAAGATGAACAGTGATTAGATCTTCACTACTAACTAGTTGTGAGCTATGCCATTCATTACCTTAAACAATGAAGTATTCATCCGACAACACAACTCGGTCCAACAATCAATGACTTTTTGAACTGAAAATCCGCCTGTTTATCCACCCCTAGCCTTTTTCTAACTTATTTCAATAAACAGTCTAGGTAGGCAGTGGTTGAGTATACCTAATACATGTCTAACCCTCTCGATTGATACAGAGTCCTAACCTTATCAACCGATCTTCTTAGGATCCTATACTTAGTTACAGTGTTGCCTACTTAACTGTTCCATGATATCCAATTATTGCTTTAAAAGCACCTACTACTTTCGCGGACCACATTCAACAACCAAATAGTATATTTCTAATCAATTTAATTGCCTTTTAGCTAGTGAGCAGCCATTTTGTCACTCCACAATTGACGCAAGTTTAAGACCAAAGTTCGCCTTCTGAATGTGCATTGAGATATCATCAGACCAAATAACGAGGGCGGAAGAAGATTAGAAGATAAGTAAAGCTGTCAACGTGTCCGACTGATTCACTACTTACGATCATTCTAGGCCCTTACGTGAATCAATCGCGAAGCACATTTTAGTGGGAGAGAAACGGATCCGATCAAGCGTATATTATGGCTTAAGGCATCTGGAACACTGGGTTTTGGAAGTCTTCACCAAATATGACTACGTTATCCGCATAGTCCAGTTAGATAAGTGAATCTTTTTGGTAAAGATTTCCGAATAAAAACGCTTGGTATCTAGGTTTTCACAATAATTATAATAGTCGCTCATAGTGTTGGGATTGACAGTATTGTTGTGACTTTTTGGTATTGTCACGACACTGGTTGTTTTAATATTTGAGTCGTTATACTAATATATAATTTACACATTATTGGTTACTATGGCATGTAGAATACTATAAGTACTACGGTGTTATCTCGCAATCTTTACTTGAGTACTTATTTATTTTTTTGAACACATACATATCAGTACAAAGGAGCACCAAATACATATGCGCCATACAATAACAATGAGAATGTGAAGAGGTAGAGAATGTAGGGTGTGTATAAGAAAAAAGGGGACGATAACGAACAGAAGTTAGTGTATGATAGTGAAATAATAATAATGAGAGAAGCAGATCAGTTAGCAAAGGTATAGCCGGAAATTCTTCTATTCAAAGAAGTTACGTCCATTTTTATGAAGAAAGTAAAACAAAGTTATAGCAGAATCGCCACTGGCTTCCATTATGAGCCATGTGTGATAACGTCTCTAACCACTGTGTTGCACCATTTCTAGGATCCTAACCAGGGAGTCGTGAAGGATAAACAGAAGCCAGTCCTGTACAGCTTTCGTTCATACCGCGACACTATGTCAAACAATAATCACTGCTTCGTTTTTTCCAACCAGTCCCAGCGTCGGCAAATAATGCACGATGTATAATTTTTTCGAACGACATTCGTAGAACGTGTTCAAGCCACCGAAGTCGATGTTTTAAGATAATGATACCAATTGAATTATCGTCGCTGTGCTCGAACACACAATGCCGAACCTCTGCATTAATAACACGGTATTGCCACTGGATGTCAGCAATCCTTCAGAGACAACGATGATCAAACACAGAGTCGTCTAACACCAAAAAATAACCTCTGATCTTCTATTCTCAAAACGCAAAATTAAGTGACTTTTACAGTACATTTTTCAAGATTTTCGATTAAGTTCTTCAGTAGTTAATTTTATTGCAAGGTGCACTTTGTGGCTTTCTAGAGAATGAGTGTGGCGTAGGACATATATTATAGCCTCACTTAAGGCTATAATTCAGTTTCAGTTTCAATTTGGGAAGGACAGGAGGCTCGATGGCCTATGTTAGTCCTGGCAATGGTGGTCTCTCAGTTGATCCAACTTTCTTTTGAAAGAGTCGACGGATGGAGCCTCAACCACGTGCTGAGGTAGTGAATTCCACTCGTTGATGATTCGATGGGAAAGTCGATAGTCAGCTGACAAGTAATTTGTTCTCGGCTTGTGAACTTTTTTGGAGTGTCCTCGTAAATTCTCTGTTTTGGAAGACAAGAAAAATGAGGGCATATCAGGTGCAAATTTATCACTAAGCAATTTGTAGACTGTAATCAAGTCGCCTCTAGTTCTGCGATATGACAACGGGAAAAGGTTCAGCTTGGCCAGTCGAGATTCATACGGAAGCTTCGCTATTCCGGGAACCACCTTAGTCGCCGTTCTCTGAACCTTTTCCAGAAGCTCACTGTCTTTTTTTAAGCAGGGGCTAGCCGCTTGTATGCAGTACTCAAGTTTAGGACGAACGAACACTGTATACAAAGTCAAAAACGTCTTAGCGTCGACATGACTAAAAGCTCTACGTATTGACCATAACGTTCTAAAACTTTTGGAGGCTATTGCACGGCAGTGTGCAGTAGTCTTTAAGTCTTGACTAACGATAACTCCTAAGTCATTATATGTCTGGACGACAGGTAGCTCAGTGTTATTCATCGTGTATGTATCTGTGCCTTGATGACCGATATGCATCACAACACACTTGGAAGTATTTATCGGCAACTGCCATGTTTGAAACCATTCAGATAACTTATTCAGGCCATTTTGAAGTTCTAATCTATCACTCTTACATCGTATCGTTCTCCATATCTTGGGATCGTCAGCTTATAGCAAGACCGATGATGATAGGAGACAAGGAAGGTCATTTACATACAAGAGGAATAGCACTGGCCCCAAAACTGTACCCTGGGGCACTCCACTAAGCACAGTTTCCCAGCTAGATAACTTTGAGTTCACACGTACTCTTTGCTGGCTCCCAACTAAGAAGTCCTTTATCCACATAAATAGATTGCCTCCAATCCCGACATTTCTTAACTTATGTAACAGCCGGTTGTGCAGAACCTTGTCAAAAGCTTTTCTGAAATCAATGAAGGCTACGTCTACAGGTAACTTTTGGTCCTTAAGAGCGCACCAGCTTTCACGAGCCACTAGTGAGTAAAGAATAACCTATTTTGAAGCCGTGCTGCTTCTCCGAGAGGATCCGGTTTTTATCGAGATACTTAAACAGCTCCTTCCGAATAATATTTTCTAATATTTTAACAACCACACTAGTTAGGCTAACGGGGCGGTAGTTCTCAGGTTTGTGTTTCGTGCCTGTTTTGAAGACAGGACTTACTATGGCATTTTTCCAATCTTTCGGTAAGCGACCCTGTGTGACGGATAGGTTAAAGCATGTACTTAAAGGGCTTGCAACGAAGTTAGATAATTCCTTCAGTAGCCTAGGATGTAATTCATCGGGCCCCATGGATTTACCTATGTCAAGCTTATTTAGCAGACCAAAGACATCGAGTTCTTTAATGGTCACGCTATCCAGTGTATGTATGGGGGGATCTGTATACGCTGACGAGAAGGGCACTTCTATGGTATACACGTTGCTAAAGTAGTTCGAGAACGCTTGATGGACGACTTGTGAGCGACGGCAAAGTAACTTCGAGAAAACCCGCTCACTTACTAAGGTCAACAGAGTCACAAATTAGTGTAGGAAACCAGGGTTAGGGTTAAGGATTAGAGGTTAGGGTTAAGGATTAGAGGTTAGGGTTAAGAGTTAGAGTTTGGTTTTGCATCACAAACCGGCACTAGCATTACAATCTAACCATACAGGCGATTAAATTCCACACCAAAATGCAAAGTCTGTTACCTTTAATTTCACTGGTTTATCTACAAGTTATAACCTCGCCTAGAATGCTATAAAGTTTATTAAAAGCTCAAAGAGGTAGGAAGACCAAATAAGAATTCGAAAGTATGGTGCTAAATACAACGAGTCAGATGTTATAATTATTGATCGCGAAGTTTCATCCAAACCCAGTTACATCGGCAAATCTACTTTCTTGCCAGAAAAAAGGGGAAATAAAGGTGAACTTTGATGAGTTTTAGATAAAACCCTTAAGAGCTCAAATGGTTGTGGACGGAATAGAATAAGCTTACGCTTAACGGGCTTCTAGAAGTTGGTGTGAATATATGCGACAATGTATCTAAATGCGGCCCCTTCCCCCAGACCGAGATAGAAAGCGCATATTTTCCCAAGAATTTCCTCGCTGGCGAGAAACAGCTCGAAACTAAAACTTACCTTCCTTGAGATGTCTGCTCCCCGAAACAAACCCACCGAGTTTGAAACTCCCGGTCTACCTAGATCGCTTTATGTCCTTGAGGTCCAAATGATTCAAATGGTTGTGGACGGAATAGAAGAAGCTTTCGCTTAACAGGCTTCCGTGTCTAGTAGCAGGGGATCACCAAATCCTCCAGTCAGGAACCTAGGTATGTTAACAATAAAAAAGGAAAAGAAATTGGTAAATCATAGTGTGATGCTGTCCTTGGTCCTTAAGAATAGGTCGAGTTGCCTCTTGAATGACTCCTGGGAAGTTGCTTGGACTAGCTCGGCTGGTAGCGAATTCCAGATTTTGACAACTCTTAAGGAGTAGAAGTTGTGTCTACACTCCGTCTTGCTATGTTGTGTTTCCAGTTTCTGGGTGTTACCCCTTAGGTTATTATTCGAACTAAGCTTAAGTAGGTGTTTAAGAGGATGTCCAGAAGTGTTAAGAATACTATAAGCCATTAATAAATCACCTCTAAGACGCCTATACACTAGTGGGTAAAGGTCTAGTGAATGGAGGCGTTCTTCGTAAGGTTTAGATTTCAGTCCTCGAACTGATTTCGTGGCTCGACGTTGGATACGCCCCAAAGTGACCTTGTCCTTTTGGAGTGAGGGAGGGAGTACTATGTTTCCGTACTCTAAATGGGGACGGATGAAGCTATTGAAGATTGTATGGAAAGTTCGTCCGTTAAACTGTCCAAAAATGCGCTTCAACGTTACCAGTGCAAGGTTTGCTCGGAAGGCATTTTTGTCACAGTTAGCATAAGACTTTAAATCATGGGGCGCCAGGACTCCTAAATCTTTTTCGACTTGGATACTATTAGAGAGGAGTTTCCTAAGTTGTAATTGTAGTTTGCAACATGTCGCAGATGGACTACTTTACACTTTGAAGTGTTAAAGGTAAGTCCGTTATCGTCTGCCCAACTTTGAAGTCGCGTCAGATCCTCCTGAAGTGACTGTGTATCGTCTTGGTTGCGTATCTCTCTCCAAAGTTTCACGTCGTCGGCAAAAAGTAATAAGTCTGACGTTACCTGTTGAGGAGGATCATTTATGTAGATCAAGAAGAGAAGAGGCCCTAGTACTGAGCCCTGGGGGACCCCACTAGGACATTCCATAGCCTGAGATAAAGTGAAATTGACCCTAACTTTAAAGTGTCGATTTTTTAGGTATGAAGTAAGCCAATCGATTAGAAGTGGTTTGATACCTAGTCGTTTGAGCTTATTGGTAAGACACAAGTGGTTAACCTTATCAAAAGCTTTTGAGAAATCAAGGTAAATGATATCAACCTTTCCCTTACGATCGAGGATGCTTGTCCATCTGTCAACCGCAGTCAGCAGGTTGGGTATACAAGAGTAACCCTTCCTGAAACCATGCTGTTGGGGTGAGAAGAAATTTAAGGACAGTAGATAGTCGTTTAAACCGTCGCGTATCAGGGACTCCATGAGTTTTGAAGGTAATGACAGAAGAGCCACCGGTCGATAACTTGAAGGTTCATTGCGTCGACCTCCTTTGAAAACTGGTGTGATGTGAGCCAACTTCCAATTTTCCGGTAATTTGCCTCGGCTTAGCGAGTGTGAAAACATCACGCTAAGCGGCGTTGCCAGGATTGAGGCTGCCTCCCTCAGTATGGCAGGATGAACCATATCCGGGCCAGGAGAAGTGTCAAGTCTTAAGTGCTGCAGTTTCCGGAACACCAAGTCAGCGCTTAGGTCCACTTCAGAAAGTCCTGTGGAATTGCAGATGAAACTGACGTCAATAAAGTTGATATCAGCCGGTTGAAATGTTTGAGAGTAATGGGCCGCCAGAAGGTTAGCGGCGTCGCCATCGTTGTTGGTCGGGCCGTTAGGTCCTACCAGTTGAGAAACTCCCGTTTTGGCTTGACGAAGAGAGGCTGCTTAGAGGAATAGGCTTCTAGGGTTAGAGGCGAATTTGTCCATAAGCTTTGTCTGGTACTGAAGCCTGTCTTCTCTTATAGCCTTCGTGCATGTGTTCCTGATATGTTTATATTGTCTATACGCTCCGTCGTTATCAGTTCGTTTGTATTCCGCCCAACAGTGCCTTTTTCGGCTTAGCAGGCGAAGGGTACGGTTCTTGATTACTGTAGGTGGCTTGCAGCTTTTGGGAACCGTTAGAGGAACTGAATGGTTTGTAGCACATAGGAGCGTATGCAGTAAGAAGTCCCAATGACCGTCCACGTCGAGTTGAGGGTGAACATCCTAAACCACCTGTTGTAGATAGTCATGTAGAGCTGGCACATTCAGCCGTTTAAAATTCCAACGCAAATTATTGTTGGGATACCTTAGCTTAGTTTTGATGACAAAACTGAAGGCTATGACAGCATGATCGCTCTTTCCCAGAGGAACCAGGATTGAGAGGTTGTCGACTAGGAATTCTTCGTTAGTGAATACACAGTCTAAGCGCGATGGTGTCTGACTGTTTCTCCAACGAGTTGCCGACCTCACATTTTCATATAAACCCAAGTCATCGATGAGGTTGAAGAACCGAGCTTCAGTTGAGTTGTCGCCTCCAGTGTACGTGTGTTCCGCGAATTTGACTCTAGGGAGATTAAAGTCCCCTAGAATCAGGATGTGTGTGAAACCGAGACGGGTAGAGCGGGATAGTCCTTCCAGCATACGACTATCGTACTCGATGTCGGCTTCCTGTAAATGACTCTGACTAGACACCTCGAAGTACTAGACAATCTTACAGAGCACCATATGGATTCCTCAAGATTGTTAAACTCGAGGTTGTGAACTTGGTGCACCTCTAAGCAAGAGCTTATGTATATGGCTACTCCGCCCCCAATTCCTGTTTTTCTGTCCTTGCGGAACAAAGTCATCCCAGGCAATGCTAACTCTTGGTCCGAGAACTGAGAAGATATCCAGGTTTCAGATATTCCTATCACATGGACCTTGTTAGCGTTCACGTAATTCATCCAGTTTATTTGGTAGACTCGCGGCGTTCATATATAAGCAGTTTATGCTTTCAATTTGGAACGCGTGAGCTTCATCCTATTTTTCTGTATGAGCCTTTTGTGCCTTAAAGTAACCCTCGTGCTATTGATAGAAGAAACCAGACAAGTAGTGAATAGGCCTTTATTTCGATCTTAGCGCGGTCACAGTGCAGCGTGGGATTATCTGTTCAGACAAACAAAGGCTCTCAACATTCAATATAAAATAATAGGGAATATAACGCTTATACAAAACAAGGAAGTGAATGAATACTTGAACAATACTGTTTTGGCATATGCTTGGTTGTTTGGGGTCAACTCTTAACCAACCAACCTAAGCTGTTACATTAGCTTCCCTCTAGAATCGACTTCCGTAGGAACGTCGGTTCGATTAACCTATCTATCGAAAACACCTTAGTTCTATTTCTCATCCCAAGGGAAAACTATCAACTCGCTGTCAACGATAGTCCATGGATATCTCTTCTTTACTAGCTTGTCATCTTATTTTGTAGCATGTGATTTTTTCTACAACTATCGTCGACGTTTTGCTGCGTGCTTTCAAGAGAAAGTGTGAGAATGTGGAATAAGAATATCTGAGGAAGTGCCACCAGCGGGCTACCCAACACCATGTTGGTGAGGTACGATTTTTCCGTGCTCAGACCGGCTATCAGGTGTTTACTCACCTGCCTCTTGAGTCGCCCTCAAGTAAAAAGTAAAGAAGAATCTACTTCAAAGGTAATGGTGAAAATCAAGCAAACCTGAAGAACTGCTCCACTGCCTGCATAAAATAATAAGATACAAAATGGAAATGCATAAATGTAATTGATAATTGTTCGGTTCCATGTAAGTGCTTGCTCTCCAGAACGGATTGGTATTCTGGAAGAGAATAGACATAGTGTAGATATCTTGTGTACGAAAAACCATGAAAACAAAAAAACTCTTTTGTAATGCATATATGTAAAAGGGTGAACTTGCTAGAAGTTGGACTCTTGAACAAAATCGATTAAATGCATGACCTTGAGCCTGTGATGGCCGCGTTTTACAACTAGGTGCGTTGTAACGGGATTAAAATCATCATGTATGATGTTGTTAATAGATTTTGTTTTCTTTCTATTGCAGGGCAAGCAAGAATAAACGCTTTAGAAGAAGAAGAGCAAGCCCTGCACGCACTGAACTTACAGGATGACTCATAAGACCGTTTTGTGAACTAGCTCTCTTTCTGTACAGAACTCGCGGAATTTAATTTTTAAAATAAACGTCTATTGGCCTTCATTCCTCGTTCTCTCTCATGTGTAAAGTGTTCAGTTAACATTGTGTGTGTTGTGGCTTTAGGTCTTCCCGTCTTCCAGTGACTGCTGATTACACGTGTTACAGCGTAACCAAGGGTGGATCAGAATACTCCACAAAACGGAAAAGAATATACGGTTAAGAAGCAAAAAAATTGTGTAGAGTATACGGATCAAGTACAGTTGTGTCAAATACCCTTTTCTTGTTTGATTTAGGTGTGCATGATATATTGAAGCAATTTATCGTCAATTCATCCAAGTAACGAATTGGTTTGCACCTCAGAAGTGTGTAAGTCCTATTACTCATTAGTATTATGAGTGATTAATTAGTGTAAGGAAATATTGAAGTCACTTCCTCCGTGGTCTGATGTGGCTTAACGGCTAAGCACGCAGTCTAGCATTCTGGAGGGCAGAGGTTCGAGTCCGTGTGGGGCCTGCGTTTTTGTTCACCACACCCACCTTCAATACGATGTTTGTTGCCCGTAAGTCACGCACATATGCGAGAAAAAATGACAAGAGGACAGACTGATATATCAAAGTGCCATATTGGAAAAGTATAAGTTCTTTGTTTACATGAATATTATTACTATGGAAAAAAACTACAAGTTTAGTAAATTTCCATTTTACGTTATATTTAAACCAACGAATATATGTATATCAGTTATTGACATAAAATGTCTTTTTTATAACGCTAATGTTAAGTTCCAGGACTTTGTATGGGCCACTAATAATAATTGGTTTAACGTTAGCATAGTCGTGATATTCATATTGTCAGTTCAATGTTATGATTACTAGACAG